GCATCGCCTTCTGCTGCTCCGAGCGCTGCCCCTAGCGCATCGCCTTCCGCTGGTCCGAGTGCATCGCCTTCTGCTGCTCCGAGCGCTGCCCCTAGTGCTTCGCCTTCCGCATTGCCTTCAAATATCCCTATCCCCCCTGTTGCTTAAATTGGTGACTTGTTTATTTCTCCAAGGATTCTCCGATCCTAGGGTGCTCACTCTATCAGAATCGACACAATTTGGGTGCTGGTTGTGAGTGCAYCAGTAACAGGACAGCAATCATACGAGCCAATCATGATGAGATGCAATTTTCCTCTATCAAATCAGTCCGAGACAGATTCACATAGTCACATGTTGTCCTATTGCGCAATCTATAGAGTTTGCTGGTGTAGGAGAAGAATTTCATTGGCGTTCACCGGGCCTTTTGTGTACTCATTGTCATGGAATGGAGTGTCGTCGGTGTGCTATAGGGAGTAGTACAKTRCTMGTAGTGGTAGCGTTAATATTATTGGTAGTCTAACAGTWCTACTAATAGTACTTCTAGTAATAGTACCAGCATTATTTTTGAACGTAATGGGAGTTCTGCTACTACTACTATGTGTCGTAAGGCACACCAGCTCCTTTAAATTATCTACTTGCCGGTACGGAAGTTACTTAATAGTGTTGCGACGTCTCACATGTTGAGTTTTCTTGCGCTATGCAAGAGTAAGCGTGAAGTACTCGTATCATCATCCAGCAGCACCAACAGAACCCCCTTACCCAGCAGTTTGCAGTGTTCACTACTATGGCATCCCAACTAGTAAGTAGTAATGGAGGTGATCAAGTAGTAAGCACAAATATTAATTCTCAAGTAGTAAGCACTGATTTTATATCCACAGTAGTAAGGACCACTAATAGAAATATTTTGGGACTATTTTTTTGTGTGGAGGGGGGGGGAGAGGAGAAGTAAAGACAGGAAAATGAAAAAAAATTGACACCCGGGGAATTGCCAAGTACAGTACTTGACTTTAGTGCGCTTGACATTAGGAGCACTATCTAGTAGGGTTCCTACGATCAACGGCGTTTTACTCCGAATTCATTCTTACAGGAACCCTACCGGTAGGAGCACCAGTCCGAGCGCATGTCCGACAACGGCACTCCTCGTATGCTATTGTAGTGCCGTACGTACCGGTACCGTAGGCTAACTCTCCTCACAACTCACCTGAAAATCAATTCTCTGAAAAAATATCCATCTCCCGTGCAGATTACTGTATACGATCCGTCTTCATTTTGAGGCGGTCACTTATCCGAATCATTACTATCAGTCGGCGCAAAGAGGTATCGATTACGACACCCGCAGCCYTGAAAAGGTGACCAAACGAACCACAACGTTTGCGAACGTAATTTAGATTCACAGGGAAGATAACTCGTGAGAATGGAGGTGCMAAGTACGAGCAGTCCTTCAACGGAAGAATCAGCCGAGGATGCCAATCCCCTCCCCCACGATGGAGAAGAAGTGGACRWTGGCAATAGTAGTGATAAAGCCAAAAAAGAAATATTGTCAGCTTGCGAGAATCAATCTACCCAGGAAAAAATTGAAACAGAACTTGCTGAGATGGTTGAAACAGACCTCACTCTAGCAGCCAACGACGATATGAGCTCAAATTCTCTAGGCGAAATACAAACGATACCATCATTAGGCGAAGAATCACCTTCTACGGTTGTCAACGAAGAAAAAGAGGAGATACCCAATAATGAAATTGTGTCAACGAGATCCTTTGCATTCTCGTCAAACTGGTCCGAAATATTTGGGAGCCCAGTCGAGTCACAAGGATTTTCACCGAGCCAAGCTGGAAGTCATCATGGATTGGGTAAGAAACGGAAAAAAGTCGACGGAAGATTTTTTTGATTTGAATCTCGTCTTCTTCACTTTATTGTTGACTTTACCCTATGGTATCTTACTATGACATCTGTCGTTTGTTCGTTCGTTCGTTCGTTCGTTCATTCGTTTTGACGTTCCTCGTTTCGGTTGAGCCAGGATTGAAATTGGCTGTGGAAGAACATTTTTCAACAGCTCTATTTCTTGGTGGCGTTTCAAAGTTTCTATCTGGTATGGCTGGAATTTACGAACCACTCGGAAACAAYCTCTTGAGAGTATCTCGTATGATATCTCCACAACAGTTGCCGTTCAAAACATCGATTGATGACGACTTTCGTTCACTGAACGAAGCAATTTTTTCCATGGGCAGTGGCTTCCGGGATTCAGCACAATGCTACCGTTCCGAACTTGTTGTCTCGCTACAAAGGATATTGGCTACTGTTGGAAACGAAAGAGAAAAGACATTTAAATGGTACAAAGAAGCGAAGCAAGGTAGTGTGGATGCGCGAACTATTGCTCTATCAAACTATTCGAAAGGCACAAATGCTGTGGAGACTGCCGAGACGGAGATCAAATTATGGTTTTCGAATCTACGACAAAAGCAGATCAATCGGACTAACGAAGAGAYAGAAGAAGGTGAAGTTGGAATAGAGATTCAGGAGACAGATATGCCATGGGAAAAGTCTTTGAAAACAATTGGTACTACGGAAAACGAGGTRGATTCCACTTGTCTCCTCATCAAWAAGCTTCGACTTGTTCAATCGTGTGAACAGGCATACATAGCTAGTGTAAAAAAAGAGAATGAATGTGTGCAATCATCACAAGAAAAGGAAGGACTTGCGTTGAACAAAATACAAAAGGGCGAAGAAGATCAAATCAACTTCTTTGTAAATGATATTTTGGCGAAAATTTTCCCTGAAAATAGCGGTGACGGAAGTAAATCTACCAGTCAAGCATCCCTCAAGATGAGCGATAAGGATAAACAATTTGGAATACAGGAAAAAGGCAACAATTTGCTTTCGACTTTGAACTTGTTCAAAACTCAAAGTACTCCTTACGAAGAGGGAATGGGCATCATGGACGCCGAGACGCTGGGGCTTTCTCAAGATCTCGGAGTTCTGAGAGATAAGATGAAGTCGCGCTTTACAGAGCGTGAAAACCGCATTAAAGCAACCGAAACCATTATCAAATTATTTGAAGAAATCACGAATGTGACCGCCAAGGCATCATTTAGGATGCGCTCTCACATAACAAACCAAAGGTACGTCCCTATTTTTAGGACGCTGTAGCAACAGGACAAAACGTAACCGACTTTGTATTTTGACAACCAAACTCACCATCTTCCTTTTCCAAACATTGGGATAGACGAAAAGCTGCTTCTGATGCTAAAGCTTCGGGATCCTTCATTGCTTCTCAGTCTGGATCTATTTGGGAAACAATATTGAAAATATTTGAGGATGAAGCAAAGCTTGTTTCTGAGGTAGCTTTCAAAATTACTAAATTGGAGAAATGGTTCTCTTCATGCAAAAGAGCTTTAGAAATCGAAAACGATGCAGACAATGCTGCATGGAAACAGGTATGCGATGCCGCCCGCTTCGAAACGAGATTAGAATCAAGATACAAACAGACGAAACAGCAAGTCGAAATTGCTCGACAGCGAGCTTCTTCGAAGGAAGCAGGTCTTTCGTTGTCGTTAATGGGATCAACAGATTCGGACGAGAATCCACAATCACCRAGAAAAAGGACCGATTCCTCTGGATCTGGATCCGGTGCTTCAGCGATCCAATCAACGCCAAATAAGGTCGGCCTAGCATTCCTCAAAGGAGGCAATGCTATGAAGAAACTCACCGAAAATGCAATGGTCCAGATTGCGCAGATTAGCATGGCCGAAAAAGACCAGAAAGAAGCAAATGACAAGCTCGCATTGGAGGAAGCGAGGGTAAAAAAGAAAAGTGCAGTGCTTGCCTATACAACGTATACAAAAGAACGCATACGCAAAATTGAATCTGAAGACGAYATCGGATGGACTGAGATGAAAAATACAGTTGAAGAGTTGAYAGAGAGTGCGAATGCATTGAATACGGTTCGGTCTAATGCGTTTGAAAATCGTGTATCAAAAGAGCTTGATACCTCTTTTCAATCGTTGATGGCGACCAAGGAAGATTGGTCCAAGAGATTTCGAGAAAAAATATTGAACGCTGAGCAGTCATCCTTGTCTTCAACTGATGCGGTTACAGAGTATACTCTTGYGATAAATCCTATCAAATCTGGTAACGTTGRTCGGATTTTGGGGRTGACCGAAACCGTCACAACACTGGCAGCATTGGATTTGGAGATTGAACCACTAGAWCAAGAAATAAAGGAAGGAGATGTTGCTAGTTGCAACGACATCCCCTCAGACCAATCTATTTCTCCAAGTGATAGCACTCCCGCAGAGACGTCGACCGATGGCACCAATTCTGTCAGGTCCGAAATAGGGGAGAAAGAGGTCTCTACTACCGAGGAGAGCTCTGAAATGAAGGCATTCATTAAGCGCTTTTGGTCAAAGAAACCAAAAGACGAAAAGATTCCGGATATACTTGAAACACATCTTTGTGCTTACCGTCCAAAGGAAAGGGTGACCCTTTTGACTTCCAATTTATACGGTCGACTCTATACAACCAAGGATGCAATTTATTTCCTTGCATCTGACAAGCATTTCACGTTGCAATGGGATACTATCACGGGTATCGAAAAGGAAAAAGGATTCATGGGGTCGAACAACGACACTGATTTGGTTGTATCTTACCGCTCTGACAACGAAATCTTATCGTTTCTTCTCTGCCGTCTCAAGGACAGGGACGAGGTMGTGGCACATCTGAAGAGGCTGAAGAAAGAAAGTGACGAGCGCAGGGCGTCAGAAACACCAAAGGACAACACTGCCGCTGACGCAAAATCATCCTTAGTTCCTCCGGATTCTACGCTGRAGAAGATGAACATTGTCTTATCCAAGACGATMAAAAATATGTCGATTGAGTCTTTGTTTGAAAGTGCATGGGCCGACCGATCCGAGGGCGAATCCTTTTACGGTTCGTGGCTGAAGGAAGAGGAATGYTTCGATGTTGCGACGGAAGAATGGAAGATTGCCGAAGACACCAGATTCAGGAACGAGTGGTGCAACGAAGAATACGACCAGTACCGTCTCGTGACTTTCAAGTTCAATCGTACCACCCACCTCTACATCGGTCCGCCCGTGGCAATCGTGAAGCAGCGGCATTTCATCCGGGTGGAAGGCAAGGATCGGTGCGTCCTTGCGATTTCCGCGGAATTCGATGGCATTCCGTACGCCGACACCTTTGCGGTAGAGATGCGCTGGGTAGCGACGAGGAAAGGTGCGAAGGATGTCCAGGTCGAGGTCGGCCTCTTTGTGAATTTCAAGAAGAGGACGATGCTCAGGTCCCAGATCGAGTCCGGAACCATCGAGGAGACGAGGAACGTCCACCTGCGCCTGTTCGACGCCGTGAAAAACGCGGCCCGGAAGTCCTTGGGCGGGCAGCCTGGCGACGAGGACGAAGACGAAGCCGAGGACGATGCCGTTCCCGTCGGGACGGCAGAGCCGGGCTTGCTGGCTCTTTTCGGAAGCCTTGTTGGCCCGCTCGATCGGTCCACGGTCCTTTCGTCGATCGCAGCCGTGTGCCTGCTGCTGGCCGGAAGCTACGCGGGTCGGTCGTTGTTTGGGTCCCCTTCTTCCCCGGACACCCAGCGGCTCGAGCACCAGATGACGGAGCTCCAGAACGAAGTCCGCGSCCTCCGCAGGTCGCTGGACCTGGTCACGGATCTCCTGAAGGAGGTCGCGAGCCAGCAGTGCCACCCATCGGAATAGATGCACCGTGTGGCGTTCGGGATGCTGCCCCGTACGGGCAGCTGTGGCTCGAAATAACAACGAATAGAGTGCGTTGGATCCGATTCGAATTCGAATCGAATTCGGATTCGATTTCGATTCGATTCTTCGAGACACAAACTAGTGTAAAAATGCCGATCGCACGTAACGTAACGTAACGTAACGTAACGTAACGTAACGTAACGTAACGTAACGTAGCAAAGTACTTGTACCGTAGTGAGTTACTTACTAGATTCGAAAGGGCTAGCCTAGTCGATGTCCCACGCCGGGGAAGCCTCCCGGGGATCACCGGTGTGGTGGTGTGGGTCCAACCGGAGGGAAGCCTCGATGTGCAAGAACGCCGAGGCGTGCCTGCTTTGGCAGCCCGAGCGAGCGGCCTCCTCCGAGCACACGCGGGTGGCCTCCTCCAGGGGATCGCCGCCGCCGCCGCCGCAACGGTCCCCCCCCGGTGCCTCCAGCCCGTACCGGACCATGCGGAGGGTGTCCGTCCGCACGTCCAGGGCCGGGTCGTCCCTCAGAACGGCCAGGAGGTCCCCCAGGCCGCCCCGGTCGACGGGCCCGAAGAGGTGGGCCCKYGATGCCCTTTTCCGTTTGAGCAGCCCCCCCACGGCGGCCGCGAGGACGGGAACGTCCTTCGAGCGGTAGGCGCARTCGCAGGCCAGGACCGTGTCGTAGCCCCCGGTGTGGGGGTCCGGGAGCTCTTGAAGGGAGGTCCCAAAGGAAACCCCGTGCCAGTCCAGGGGGGCCACGCGGAGGGGCGGAATCGCCGCCGCCGCCGCCGTTGTTCGAGCCCCCGCCACGTGTTCGGAGCAGCGCCGGAGGACCTCCTCCTGGTGGTCCGTCAGGGTCAGCGAGCGAAAGGGGGGGAGRCCGGCCGGAACCAGCTYTGGCGACCGCAGGAGGGCGGCCAGGATGCCGCCCAGGCCGACGCCGCTCCCGAGCTCGACGGCCCTCCCGGCCAGGAGCTCGGGCCGGGCCCCGAGGTACAGGGCCATGGCGATCGAGCTGTCCCAGGTCCTGCCGCCCGTCCCCACCCTCGCCACCGATGGTGCCCCCCCGGGGATCTCCCGGAGCCACAGGGGGGAAATGTCCTCGATCGGATCGCCGAGGGGCAAATCGATGGGTTCGGCGCAGGTGTTGGTCTCGGCGCTGGTGTTGGTCTCGGCATTGGTCTCGGCGCAGGTCTTGCTCTCGGCGCCGTCGGTGGATCCGAAATGGCAGTGGCGTCGCACCAAAAAGGCCTTGCGGGATCCCCCAATGTCGTAGAGTTCCTCGATCGACACGGAAGGGGAGGCCCCCGGGCACCCCTTCCCGTCCGCCAGCTGGTAGAGGGAGCGGGCGATCCCCCGGTCCGAGCACCGGTAGGGATCCCCCTCGAGGAGCAGCAGGGGTTTTGGAAGCGCTTGGGCTTGCGCTTGCGCCGGGGAGGGGCCGGAGGGACCGGGCCGGGCAGGGACCGCCTCCCGGCACCCGCTGCTGCTGGTTCGGATGCCGCGACCGCGACCGGTGCCCCGGCAGCCGCTGCCCGCTTCCGGGTGGCTGCTTCGGGCGACCAGGGATCGGTGGTACCGCAGGCTTTTCATCTCGGAGGGGGGACCGCAGCACCAATCGAAGATGCTTCGAACGCCGACCGGGTTGGTGGCAGGGCAATGCAATCCTTGCGTTTGGGTTTGGTTTCGGCCACAACGGCAATGCCACGGGGTGTGTGTGTGTTTGTTTGTGTGTTTGGTTGTGTGTTTGTTTGTGTGTTTGTTTGTGTGTTTGTTTGTGTGTTTGTTTGTGTGTTTGTGTGTGTGTGTGTTTGTTTGTGTGTGTGTGTGCGACGGGCAAGCCGGCAAGCAATCGTGGAACCGCAGCGGCCCGAGCCCGATCGAGAACGGGAAGGCTTCGCACGAACGGATCGATGCCTGCATGCGATGGATTCCTTCGCGGCATCCCGTCCCGCACGGTAGGGGGGTACCGTACCGTACCGTATCAGGCACGGTGTGTCACACGACACACCACGGTACTACGGTACGTACGTACCGTACGATCATCGACAACGATCTTTTTGGTGTTCGCGTTTTCTCGAAAACAATCGAAACCAAAATACCGTGCCGGCCTGTACGGCGGTAAGTACCGTACGCACTGTACAGCAATGAAATGAACGAGTCAATCTCCATCAACGGCCCTTGCTTGTCGAGAAGAGTATCTTTTCGGCTCGGTTAAAAAAAAGGGGAGGAGCGATAAGAACCGGTTTTTGGGTATCCCCAAATACAGTAAAACCAAGATACAATCAAACATCCTACGGTACGGTACTGGGTACGGTTGTTTGAGTACGTAGGCGTACGTACGTACAGTATGGAGAGATCAACCAACAGTGTCATTCATTCCTCCGGTTCGATTCGAATTCGGTAGAACAACGGAAGGATCCCCACGAGCAGTATTTTTCAAGCCATTGCTTTCGTAGAAGGATATTATAGATTATTACTGTATTCATTATGAACCGATTGCGTCCCGTGCTGGCACGCGGAAAGAAGCAGCATCCACGCCATTCGTGGTTGACTGGCTTGGTCGCTACGTACTATAGTCGTCCCGACCACCACGAACCATACACGGGAGCCAGCAGTCCTTCCTTCTCTGTTGTGGTGCTCCCCGTCCACTGGTTCAACCCATCGTACCGTTGGACGCATTGTATCCGTGGTCGGATTCCATGTCGCCCGCCGAGGGCACCACGCAGGACAGCTCGAGGTCGCTCTCGCCCTCTCCGGCGGAGACTTCCAGCTGCATGACGTAGTTTTTCGCGTCCGGGTTGGGCCTCCACAACACCGAGACGCCAAACAAAACGAACAGGTAGTTGGCGTGCCCGATGGCCTGCAGGATCCACATCTGGTCCCGGGTGAGGTACWGRRTGAAGAACTGGACCAGGKTCACCACGATCAWCGCACCGATGATCCACAGTGCCGTGAGGATCAGGCACTTCAGCTTGTAGTGCCGGCGCAGCTTGGAGTGCTGGTTCATGTTTCGGAGGTATTCCGTGGTCGCTTTCAGGGAGGAGATGATCCACCAGAAAAATACCATGTCGATGGCAACCACGACCGCGGACAGGATCAGCGAGATGTCGACCAGCTCTTCCTCTTTGGTGAGGGACACCGAATTGATCGATGTCGCGGCGGTGATGCCGAAATAGTCGCGGGCAAAGACCACACCGGCATACGCGAGACCCAAAAAGACAATCTTGTACAGCGACGATCCCAGGCTGTCTCGCACGACGCCCCAKCCCATGGCGACCATCACCCCCAGGCAGCGCGAAAATCCGTGTTCGAGAATCTTCAGCCCGAGAGCTAGGGTTTGGACCAGCGGAAAAGAGCATTGCATTGTCGGGYACAAAGGTTAGAGGGAACCGGGGKCGAATCSAGCGAAAGCCRAMGCAGTTGGAAGAAAACAATTGTTGTTTCTACGGGTTGAAGAAACACTTACCAATGTATATCAGAATTGGTGACTCCACTCCGTTCAAATTCCAAACGTACAAATTCAATGCCTGGAACGAAGATTCGAGAAAACCAAGAACGATTGTTGCCAAAATGTATTTCTGGATTGGAATCGCGGCCTCTTGGAATATTCTCATCCCACAGGAATACCACAATACCAAAACGAAGTAGGTGCCTGCCATGGCAGCAAAAAAGTACATCAGGCCAACAATGTCTCCGGGCTRAAAGAAGCGAAACACGAAACACRAAAGTGGAAAAAGGAAGCGAAGCAAGTGTTAAYGAAGCACATGTCGGTGTGCGAGTCATCAGGCAGGCTTTTCGCCCGGTAGAGCAAGACTTACGAGATATCCCCCAACACTCTTCCATTCCATGGTCCCGAGAGTGATGACCCCGAGGCCATCGTCGTCGCAGTTGGCAATCACCATGACGTAATCTCCCGACACGCTGATATCAAAATCTGGGTCGTCCATCGTAAAATCCGTGAGGGGCTGAGAGGGGATCTCGACTTTGCGGTGCTCTCCGTCGAAAATGTTGTGATCGACCATCAGCTTCCCGGTGGAATGGGTGTCACAAATCCCCCTCGTGGCTGTGTCGCGCGAGCAACAGTAGCTCATTCCTCCCTCCATATCGTAATCGTAAGCACCGACTCCCAAGGACACCCAATCACAATTACCCCATATRTCCTTTTTRCAGTCTGTTGGAAGCATGAACACCACAATGTCAAGGATTTGCTTTGAAGTCGAGCTGTTTTTTTCAAGTCGTCGAATCGAAGTGCCAGATGAAGTACCTGTACTTGTTGGTGCTACTGTTGCTTCATCGTTCTGTCCTTCGCCTTGATTCTCATCCTTGTCCGCTTCCGGTGGTGTTGTTTCATTTGGCTGTTCCTCATCACCGCCCTTGTTTTCATTGTTGATCGCCCCCGAGGGCGGTGGTGCTGGTGCTTCATTTGGCTGTCCTTGGCCCTCACCCTTATCTTCATTGCTGTGCGCTTTCGATGGGGGTGGTGATGGCATCGCTTCCGATGCTTCATCGTTCTGTCCTTCGGCCTCGTTCTCATCCTTGCCCGCTTCCGGTGGTGGTRRTGTTTCATTTGGCTGTCCCTCATCACCGCCCTGATCTTCATCGTTGTTYGCTACCGATGGTGGTGATTCGTTACTCTGTCCCTCGCYCTCGMCCTCACTCTCGCCCTTATCTACATTGTTGCTCACTTCGGGTGGTGGAGTTTCGTTATTCTTTCCCTGACCATTGCCCTTTCCTTCGTTTCCATCAGGTGCTCCTTCAGTGTCCTGTCCCTGTCCTTGACCCTCGCCCTTGTTGTTCGCATTTGATGGTGGCCCGTCGTTGTTCTGACCTTGACCCTCACCGTTATTCTTTTTGTTGTTGTTGTTGTTGTTGTTGTTATTGTGGTCGTTCTTGTTGTTATTGTTGCCCTTTCCTTCGTTTCCATCAGGTGCTCCTTCAGTGTCCTGTCCCTGTCCCTCGCCCTTGTCCTTGTTGTTCGCATTTGATGGTGGCCCGTCGTTGTTCTGACCTTGACCCTCACCGTTATTCTTTTTGTTGTTGTTGTTGTTATTGTGGTCGTTCTTGTTGTTATTGTTGCCCTTTCCTTCGTTTCCAACAGGTGCTCCTTCAGTGTCCTGACCCTGACCCTCGCCCTTGTCCTTGTTGTTCGCATTTGATGGTGGCCCGTCATTGTTCTGACCTTGACCCTCACCGTTATTCTTTTTGTTGTTGTTGTTGTTATTGTGGTCGTTGTTGTTGTTGTTGTCGTGCTCCGTGTTGTTTCCTTTCTCACCCTCGCCCGAACTTTCTTCGCCCGCTTCTGTTTCTTTTTCCAATTCGATTGGAGCATCGGCGCCGCTATCGTCATGGCTACCATCGCCGCTTTCCTTGCCGCTGTTCTCGTCTTGCTCGTGGACAATCTCCGGCGGAGGGAGAGGCTCTCGGGTCTCCTCGTTCGATTCGAAGTCGTCGGTTTCGCCGGAGATCGGGCTCGATGTACGCTGAGAGTAGGCGTCGTCCRTCTSGTAGTCGAAGCCGTCTTCCCCGTACTCGCTGTCGTAGCCGAAGAGAGAATCGTCGCCGTCGAKGTCAAAGAAAATGTCTTCGTTCGTGATCAGATGAATCTTCTTCATGCTGATCGAGGCGGGGGCCTGGAGGAACCCACGAACGAAATGGACCTGGTCGCTGTCTGCGTCGATGATCATGTCCAGTTCGATGATCTCGGGCGATACTAGGACCATCGATTGGACAAGAAGCAAAATGGAGAGCAGAAACCCGGAAAACGACGGCAGCGAGTGCTTGCTGACGCGGCACCTGCCCTTTSGTCCTGTCGAACGCTGGGTTGAAACGAGCGTTGCTTCTTCCATCGCGAGGATCAATCTGTTTTTTTCTTGATAATTCTCTCTCCAGCAGAGTTTGGATTTATTGCTGTTGCTTTTGGAGGCTGTTGCCCACAGGTTGTCCGTAGGGTTTCTTGGTTGTGGTTTTCAACAGTAATGACTTAGACTGGATTGAGTGAGTGGATCGCATCGATGCACGAAAATAGATGGATTTTCGAATTGTGACTTGAAGGAGGTGCACTGTACACAACGCATGGTACATACAGTAATGCACGAGTACGAGCTCGAACCGGAACTGCATGTTCGGTCATTCATCAAAGAAAAAATAGTGAGACAAATCTTTTTTGGGAGGACATACGAAAACCACACGCGCATAGTTTTAAGCTTATTGTACTCGTACCTTGTTTATCTACCTTACGTATGGTATTAGATTACGTCGTTCAAAGGATTGGCTTCCAGCAGAAATGCTTTATCATTAAACTAACGAGATGTTGACGAGGTTAACTATAATATTTAGATTTTCCAAACAATAGCCATGGTTCGAATTGCTCGAAAGTGCTTCMGATTGGTTCGACCATGACTACTACTATGAACATTCGTAGCCTGCAAGAGGTATCGAAAGAGGATGAAATCAAGAACAAAAAAATACACGGTCGTTTCACACTAAATAGGGAAGGAAGGAAGCATGGAACTAGAACTCATCTCATCCACAAGAAAGCAGGTTTGTTGGATSCGCAGTTTCATTCTTGCGGCGAGCAAGCCTGTCGGGAAACCTTCCATTGCAACGCCTACACACACAGATTGTGAAAGCCCTATCAGTGGATCCAACCACCAATCCAGTGGATCGATCGCGATGATYGTCACCGGAAGGAACTAGCACTCCAGCGGGGATCCCTGAAACGAACGCCATAGGTCTTCGCCGCCGAGGCCCACCAGTTCGTCCGGGGTTGCGAATTTTCCTTCCGCGATCAKGTCGGCGAGCGTCCCGCGCCTGCGTTTGCCACTGACGCAGGCCGAGAGGTCGTGTATCTTGTTCCAGTACTTGTCGAGCCACCGGCGGTCGTCCGGAGCGGTGCTAGGTGCTTCCTTTTTCTTGCCGCCGTCCCTCGTCGCCCAGTGGTAGACAGCGGTTTCCAGGTTGCGCGCAACGGCGTTGCGGTTGACGGTCTTGCCCTCGGGAATGAACARGGCGGCCTGCTGCAAAAATTCCAGCCCAAAGGTCCGGTCTTCGTTCTTTGAAGAATTGTCGCTCGACGAGATTTCGGTGGTCCAGAGGTGGCTGGTTTTCTGGCTCTTCTTGGCGGACGGCTGGGACGAAGACKGCACGGACGAAGAGATGGGTTTGGCGCCCATGCTCCCCGGCGTTGGCGACGAACTCCCCCCCGGGCGCATCAGCTTTCCGAGGGAGAATGATCGCCGCTTCGGTTCCGCCTTTGCGGCACTGGRTTGGTTCTTTTTTGGCAGAGGCGGCACCGGTGCCGGCACCGGGTCCGTGTCGGAGAAGGATATCCCGCTCTGGGATCGTTTCAGAGACTTYTTYGGWACCGCCGGCATCGGCGTGTCCACGGGTGGTTTCTCGTTGCCGCTTTTGGCAGTAACCGGGGGCTGGTTCGGGGTTTGCCCATCCTCGTCGGGTTTTGGGAGTGGCGTTTTGTCCTTTGGTTGGCTGGTCTCTTCGACGGGGGGTTCGAGTTTCGTAGGTGGTACGGYGTTTGTTGTGTCCGGAGAAACGTATTTTTCGCTTTCCTTGACCGGTTTGAAATCCTTGGGAACCATGGCTTTCTTTTCCTTGTACACCGTCTTGAATTTTGACAAGACACGCTTTCTTTTTTCGTTTTCGAAACCTCTCGAACGCTTCATCAGATTGCCCATTTCGTATGCTTCCATAAACGGTGCGGTGAACATCTCCATTTTCGAGAGGAGCTCGTCATAGATTCTCGATAGCTGGTTGGCATCTTTGTTGGTTATAGCTTTTTCCCAGCGGTGGAGAAGAGGAAGATACAAAGCCTCACACTCGTGGAACTTCCGTTGTTCTTTTTTGTACAAGTGTTTCAGGTTTGGTTTGGCCGCAGATTTCTTGTCKTTTGTAGCTGTGGCGGGCTTTTCGAGTTTGATTTTAATCTTTTGCGCCTTCTTTTTTGGCACTTCTTTCSGCTTTGTCGAGGATTYGCCGCTTTTCGATTTCTTTTCTAAASTTTTCTTTTTTGATGCTTTTGGTTTTKTTTKGTTCACCATGTAGTCTTCGTCTTCTGAGTCGTCACTGGATTGCAGGTCGTCGAGTTCCAGGTTTTCGTCGTCTGTCTCACCGTGTGACGAAACATCGACCATCGCAACATACTCATCGTAGGCACTTGGTCTTTTATCTTTGGCCTTCTTGGTGGCCCCTTTCGTCACATCTTCAYCTCCCTTTTCAGAGCCCTTGACATCTTCTTCCTGTCGCTTTCTATTTCCGTTTTCGGTGGCGTGGTTTTCTTCTCGATTAGACGATTGACTMGAGGTGTTCGGATCTTTGGCGGTGGCCCCACTACTACTCCCAGTTTTCTTTTTCTTCATAGGTCTCGAGATATCTATGGAGCTGTCGGCTTTCTTTTTGCTCTTCTTCACCAATTTCTTTTTCGGTTTTGGTGTTTCCCCGTTCTTGGCGGCTTCCTGGGTCCCCTCTTCCCGGTGCTGTTTCTTTTCTATCTTCTTCGTTTTTGATTTGTTTCCCATTTTTTTTAACTTCCTCTTTTTGACAATGGCTCCATCTGATGATTTGGTTTTTGYTTTCTTTTKTTCTTTCTTATGCTCCGGCGTTTCCTGTGTTGTGTTGTCGTGCCCCTCTTCAAKGTGATATTCCTCCAAAAAGTTGCAACCGACGTAACCGCACCGTTCCGTCGGATCTTTTAACCGATCCGCCTCCATTTCGTCGAMTCCGTTTATGAAATTAGAATCWYYCCGGWTYATCTTTTTCCCCTCGCTTAGTCGCTGCTTCGCAGATCTCAGCTTCTTTTCTGTCTTCTTCATTCCCAGCTCGTAGCTCATAAGTGAAGAAGTCTTTTGGAAGGAGTATGCACTGTGAAGATCGTTGTACGTTCCATACCAGTATGTCAAGTGGGTCATTTGTTCTTCTCTACCACTCTTTTTGCACTTCACGTTTATTGTGGTTTATTTGTTTGTTCACAAATGCATAAGCATTGGGCGAAGCCGATTTCAATAGATTAGTAAGTAAGATTGTATGAGAATCTCATCACGTCGGGTCGCATTGCGCCACAGCAGAGCACCACATCGCACGCATGCAAAATCATTATTATGCAGCGGAACGTCTCTGATAGTGCTCTTCTTCCACCACGTTAGACACAATAGTAACTTACATTGTGGAACATACCCATCCATTGCTCCCGAAGTGCACCCGGATTGACCTTGTACGGATTCATGATCAGGACCGGCCCGATAAACTTGCCAAAGGTTGAGAAGTAGATTTTCCCAAAACGTTCTTTCACCGATTGGGGGACCRCCGACAAGATTTCTTCCCGCTTTTTTTCGAACGCCTTTTTCTTTTCCTCGTCGATTTCGGCTTCCCGCTCCGGAAGCTCGTGCTCGGTCCCAACATCGACRTCGACACCGACGTGATCGTGAACATCCACAACTTCGTCGTCTATCATATCGACGTTGTCAAGATTGAAAGAGGTTTCGTCTAAGTCAACGGCATCGAGGTTGTCATCACCGGCAGACATGTTTCGTTTCATGGATTGGATTGGATTGGATTGTCTCCATCAATGCAGCCAACCGTTGGTGTCGATGTACTGAATAGTGAATTRCCGGAGGATCGATGTGTCACAACTCGTTGGTTCTCGTGTRRAGTGAACTGGTTCCAAGAAAACYTGATTGCTGCTGTGACGTGAAYACAAAATAAGAAACGTATGCTTCGTGATAATTAGAAACGTAKGCTTCGTGATCACCTTGGATACGACAACAAATGCAATAAGCTGTTTTAYCCGTTGATGGGGCATGTGTTGKTGAGAGAAGGATGGTGTCCGGGCAGTTTTGTCATCATTTTTTGAAAATGAATCAATCTCAGTCTCCTTTGGGTAAATTAAAAGGAGGATCATAAACTTTGATTTCCCCAAATACAGTACGTACGTACCGTACCACTATGACACTTTGTACTTTGTACCTTACCGTAACTCAAATCTACTAGTAGTACTTCGTCCTGGAATAAGCAATCGTACCCTACCTACCTACCTACCTACCGTGATATACAGGTAGCAGTTAGATGGATTTGAATATCTGTTTTTTTGTACCTCCACGATCCAAGATAAAACCGCTTTTTTCGGTTGAGATAGCTGTTCAGGTCTCTTCCCATCCATTATGTACAAGTAATCCGGTTGAACTCACAAGCCTCGTCAAACTAAAGCATATAGAGCCTCGTCGAAAATCGGCGCTCACAGGTTGCCATTGCAGGTGTTGCACGCTATCATAACGTACGTTTTTCTTGTCGTTTTCTTCTTTCCAATAATGAACAATACAACGAGCAAAGCAACAAACAACCACAATCCGAAATGAAGAAGAATGCCAAGAACAAACGAAGCAGAAACAAACAMCCAGCTGCAATCGAGTTGAGCGAGTCCATCGACAACGGGACAGATGCGGAACGAAGCGATCTTGATGCCGATACCATATCAATTGACACCTCGTCCAGTGCGTGGACAATCCCATTACCGCCAACACGTTCTCCGGCTCGCCGGCATCACTCGCGACGATTGAAACCGCTTTATGAGTCGAATGCGAACACAAAAACTCCTTTATTGCGTCTGGTACGTCGTCAGCAGCATCACGACAAGAAGAACCGCGATGGAAATGAGCGAATGCATCAGAATTCATTGGATGGTTACGGYAACGAYGGCATCGAGCAAGGGGGAAGCTTGCCCACGAACCGRCTGTTTGGGGATTCCGATGTTCTGTCYCCGGCGGCAGCAACAAAAACGAGGCARCCGCTAGTKGCTAGTATCTCCAAAGCCACGAACAAGCCGGACGGTCTGGCCGGTTGGTTTTTTGGATTCATGTACGAAGACGACTACAACGAATCGTTTGATTTCGACGGCGACGAARACGAAGACATCGATGGGCTTGCGAGTCCTTGGAACYCCCTAAATGTGGCCATATTTGCAAGCTATGCGCTCACCACTGCGGCGACGGCTCTCCCAGTGCTGCTGATTCCTACCATCGGCCAGGATTTTCTTGAGGACGAAAACGCGGTCTCTGGGTTTTCTTCCCGTGCGGCCTCCTCCGCCGTTCTCGGGATCGCCTGCGGGAAGTTTTTGAACGGGCAGGTAGCGGACGTTCTGGGCGCCAGGAGAACTTCGTCGCTATATTCGATGCTGCTGGCAACAGCGCTTCTCGGTCTTGCTATGTCGCGAAGCGCGRCTTCTGCTACGAACGCATGCTTTTATGTCGAGTTCTTTCAGAGCGTTCAGTGGCCCTGTATCATTGTGCTTTTGGGCACACACTATAACCCACCGCACCACACTACTCAGTACGAGAAAGGTATTTTCATGACCAGCATTGCATCACGGTTCGGTGCTCTCCTGGGTATCCCCATTTTTTCCGAGCTACTGCGACAGTCCAATTGGCGACTGGTGTGTCTTGTCGGAGCCTGGATCGCAGCAATCGGGTCCTCGATCACGTACCTKTATRTTTCTGATTCCCCGATGAAGGCGAACGAGCCACAGAACCCGTTGAACCCAAACTTAATGCAACAAGCGTCGACGCTGGATCCGATAAAGAGACCAAAGAGATGCCTKGTGGTATCCATCAAGGTCMTGCGCTCGGTCATATCAAACAACGTGATGCCTTCCTTCAAGCACGTCCTATCGAGCGGGACGTTTTGGGTTGTCGCACTCGCACACACAGGATCATCCATGGTTCGGAGCTCCACTCGGATTCTTGGGACCTATTTTTACGACACGTCTTTTGGATATCTGTCGAAAACGAGAGCGGGCGGTCTCGCTATTTTTTTGTCGCTAGGGACGGTCCTGGGCCTCGGAATTGCCGGAAACCTCTTTGCTCGGCGCAACGAACGACAGCGAAAAAAACTAGTCTATAGACTCTATGTTGTCACGATYGTTTCCTGTTACTCCCTGGCGTTGCTAGCTATCCCGCGCCTGCGGCACTTCATAGATTCTCCGGACCTCGTCTTGTTTTTCCAGRTCGCCTGCTCCCTCTTCATGGGGTTCGGAATCTCCGTCGCGTACTTTCTAATCCCAGGGCTGGTGGGATCGGCCTTTGGACGCCACAGGGGCTCGTACATTGCCTACACCGACGGGGTCGCCTTTGGGATTTCTTCTCTCGTGTGGAAGATCGTGGCGAATGCGGTAGCAGACGGCAATCCGGAGGGTGGTGGTTGGGCCTATGGCTGGGCTGCCGTGGCGTTGCTGGTGGTGCTTTGCGCCGTCCTGATGGTTGAGTTCATGGAGCACTATTTCGTGCGGTCTCGCCCCGGTAGTGGGCGCAGCGGAGCCTATGAGACCATTCTATTTGTCTGAACGAATGGATGCCAACGCATCGGGACCTCGTGRCCGATCACAAACCAAAGCCAACGATTCGACGCTGAATTGCTATTGCACTAAAAACATAGAAATAGATATTACAGTATACTACTAGAGATCAAGAAGAAGAATTTTGCTATTATTTATAACTCTTTTACCAATACATGCATCTTCTTTTCAACATACTTTTCCACAAGAATGTCCTATGAGGATAGACAATCGGAAATTTTCGTCGATTCGGATGTTTGTGTATCATGACGATTGGGTGGGCGAGAAGTAACGCTGATGTTGGAGAAAGTGCAACACTTATTTCTGTCACCGACATAAATTGATCGAATCTGTGTGTCGGAACGTTTTGCGTGCCCCCTACTGTGTGGAAGAGTAGTAGATTCTACCTAGCCTTGTTGCATGGCCAAGTACATTCTTTGATGATATTGCCAGGAAATTTCTGTGAATACGACCGCATGTTTTCCATCCCCCTTTCCACAGGCACAATTCGAACGTCCTGGACTTSCACCAAAGATTGACCATCGGTACCTTGGACCCAATCCGCTTTCCCAWTTCTTGTGAAGCATTGGGAAACATACCGCTTGATCCGTCCGTAAGACGAGACGTGTGCAACTGCATTATCCTGGTTTTCTCGTTTACTGGCAATCATTCATATTCCACATGGATCATTCTTTCGCATTCAATCTATATGAAAAAATGATCCAACGGTATTAATTACGAACAATCACTCACTGGCTTGTGCTGCTTAAAACGTGTCTTCCCCGTTTCACACGATTGTAACGAGAAAACTGGTGACGACGACAAGAATGGTACTTGCGTAGATGTTGGTGAATGCAACGGTGGATCCATCACCAGAAATCCGGTAACACAGCCCAACGCATCCATCCATTGCTGCAGGTCTATGCCCTAYAGTAGCACACGCGCAGTATGATTAGTGTAATTTATTTCATCAAGCACGGGTACACAGTGCTGTACAATACCGCCGTRCACRCTTCGWGTAGCACAGGGTCCGAGACCGTCCTCCTCCGGTGGTAAGCTCCCCGTCCAAGAAAGTGGGATCGTCGAACAATCAGTTCCCGGGTGGTTTCTCAAAGTCGTCCAGTAGTATGTCGTGCCCCCTGACGTCCCCAAACAGGTTGTCCAGGGTGTTCCGATCCTCGTCCGGTCCGTTTTCACCGCCATCGCTCGACACGTCCGCAAAGGCATCGTCAAAATTCGCCTCAAAGTTGGCGGCAAAATGATCCTGGTCGCCGAGGTTGCCGGTGAAAAGGTCCATGACGTTGTCCCCTTCCTCGTCGCTGCTGCTGCTGCCGCCGTTGCTTCCGTCGTCCTCGTCGTCGTCGTTGCCAAAGTTTCCAAAGCCACCGCCGCCGAGGGGGTCGTCGAACAGGTACCCGCTCTGGGGTGYCCTCGGCTGTGCCCGGCCGTCCCCACCGGAACCGGTCAGGTTCAGGCCCGCCATCATGCTGGCCGCGACCTCGAGATCGTTGTCGTCCATGTCGATGAGGTCTCCGTCCACCAGCAATCCCCCTCTCTGCGGCAGCGAGAGGGCTCCTCCATCGTCGTCCTCGTCGTAGTCAAATCCACCGCTGTCTTCGAGTCCGGGCCGGTGCATGTGGAGCGGATCCGTTCCCAGGGTCGAGGCCTGGAACCCGCCGAGGGGTGTGGTCTGCAGGGCGAATTCGGCAGCCAGCGTGGTTGCCACAAAATCGTGCCATATTTTTCCGAGGGGGTGCTGCTCGATGAGTTGTTCCAGCACCAGTGCCTCGGACGGGGGGGCACTATCGCTATTATTCGGGGCGAGACGGCTTTTCTCCGGCGGCTCGGCCGGGTTCGACGACAAATCCCCGTCCGGCCGTTCCGGTGGTCCCTCGGYACCTCCAAGGCCGTCCGCGGGATTGTCGCCGCCGCCGCCGTCGTCGTCGTCGCCTTCCTCTTTTGTATAGGCCTGCACCAGTGCCTGGCATATTATGATGACGTGTCCCATGTAGCCAAGCCGAAGAAACGGCCTCTTGGGCTTGCCGTCCCCCTCCCCCAYGGGTGGACCGTTGCTCACAATGGAGCTTCCGTGGTTCGCCTCGTCGATCGGTTCCGCTGCCGCCGGTCCGAACCCKGGAAAGCCGGCACCGTCCTTTTGTTCTTGCTCTTGTTGCTGTTCCATTGCTACGTCGACGTCGTCGTCGGACACGGGCAGGACGGTTTCGTCCACCGGAGCGGGAGCGCTTTCGTCCTTGTCGCCGCCTCCCACCAGCGACGAGGAGGAGGACGACGACGAGGAGGGGACGCTCGGCACCGACCGATCGCTGTCGCTGTCCTTTTGCCCCATGATGCTCTCGGATTGCTCGTTCGCGTGGAGCGAGTTGCCGACGAGGGACGGGGACGACAGGATGTCYTTGGCCCCGCCGCCGTTTTCCCAGAACGAGTACATGAGGCGGCCCAGCAGRTTGCACCGGACCAGAAAGTAGGACTGGAGGTCGGACCTCGCGTTTCTCCCCTCAAAGACGTGGACCAGGAGGTTGGCCACGGACTGGTGCAGCATCGAGCACCACTGGAAGCCCCAGAAGAGGTCGAGGCAGGTCTCGAGGCAGCCCGACCCGCACAGGACGGAATCGACGCCCGGGTTGCCCAGGAGGACCAGGGACTCCAGCAGCCGGACGATTCGGAGCCTCGAGGCCCCCAGGAGGGGCTGGGGYTCCTTCCCCGAGAACTGCATCGGGGACACCCATCGCTCCGCGCCCGGGTGCGTCAGCAGGCCTTCGAGCGAGTCCAGCAGCAACGGCAGGTGTTTTGTCAGGGTGTCCGGGCCGGCGCAGCGCGGTTCGGGAGGAGGGGACCCACCTTTTTGCCCTGCAGCGCCCCCTCCGTTTCCCAAAGGTGCGCTTTCGTCGCCGCCGCCGTCGCCGCCGCTGCCTCCGGGGCAGGGGACGACCGTCCCCACCGACCCGTAGCCGCCKAGCTGCAGGACGAGGCTCTCGAGGACGTTCATGGCGCAGGTGAGCCTGCTGTCGTGGCGGCCAAACGCGGCACCCGCGCACGGGCCCTTGGACGAGGCCTCGACCAGCTTTTCCAGGACCGGGTCCGAGGTGAGCGTGCACATCGTGCGGGAGGTGAGGGGGGAGTTCTGGATGATGGTGATGAGGACCTCCGAGGCGTTCCGGCAGAGGTCGAGCCCTCGGTCGTTGTCGTCGTCGTTTTCGTCGTTTTCGTTGTTGTTTTCGTCTTTTCCCACGAGGCACTCCAGGAGCATCTCCAGCGCCGGCCCCGACTCGGACCAGTTGCAGCGAAAGGGCACGAGGGGCTCCCCCAGGGCTTCGTCGAGGGGATCGTGGAAGAGGTCCCCGCACTCGTTCTCGTGGTCGTCGTGTTGTTCCTCCCCCTCCTCCTGCGGAAGGAGGCCGTGCGTGGGCATCAGGAGGTGCTGGACGACCTGCAGGAGGGAGTGGGAGTAGAGGTGGTCGAACATCGCGGCCATGAGGGTTTCCCTGCCCCTCCCCCCGCCGTCGTTGAGGTACTCGGCGACGTCGTTCGGTCGGTGCTTGATGAGGACCGACAGGACCTTTTCAAAGTACCCCGCCCGGTAGTCGTCGATGACCAMRGGCCTCCCCCTCTCGTGGGTGCTCCCGGTCGTTCTTTCGCCGGAAGCTTCCCCCGGGCCCTCCCGCTCGTAGAACATCGAGAACAAGAGGTCGAGTATGCGCCTCCCCCTCGCGTCGCTTTCGCCGAGGAGGTCGGACGCCGACGGCAGCGCCAGAAGCGGAGCCGATCCGTTGGCGCTCTTGCTCGCCGGTTGTGCTCGTGTTGGGTGCCCGTTCTCGTTCTCGTTCTGGTTCTGGTGCTCGTCGTCCTGGTCGTCGTCCTGGTCCTCGTTCTCGTCGCCGCTGGTGTCCAGCAGCGGAACAAAGCCGTCCATGATCAGGTCGGTGATCCCCTTGAGCTCGCAGGAAATGACCTCGCAGGCCATGTACGGAAAGCGAAAGTGGAGGTCGTCCTCCTGCTCCTGCCTCGTTTTCGGGGGTTGCCGCGGGGTGTCGTCTCCAAAGAATTCCTCTCCCTGGAGCCACTTTCCCGGTTCCTTTGCCGCCTCGGTGGTGTTGCCGTTGTTGCCCCTGTCTTTGTCTTGGTTGCCGCTGCCCTCGCCGTTTTCTCCTTCTTTCTCGCCCCCGTTCGGCCCTTCATCCGCGGCCCCGCTCTGCGAGGAGGCGCTCTGGTTGGCGTTGGCATTGGCGTTGGCGTTGGCATTGACATTGGCATTCGCATCGACATCCGCAGCCGCATTGACATCGACATTCGCATCCGTCCTCGCCTCTGCCTTCGCCGCCGCCTCCCTCAGCACCCCTTCCCTCCTGGAGGGCGATAGGACCATGTACTGGACGAGCCCCGAGACGGCCTCCTCGGTCGAGAAAAAGTCGATGAGCTGGGGGTTGATCCCCCGGAGCTCCTGGAGGAGCTCGTCCTCCGCCAGGATCTCCTCCAGGGTGTACTCCCCCGAGTCCAGGAGGTCCCGGAGGGGCGAGTCAAAGGTGAGGCCGCCGATGCCACCCGTGCACCAGATGTCCCCGCCGCCGTTCGAGAGGCTGGCGGCGTCCAGGAGCGACGACATGGTGGTGGTGGTGTTGCGTTGCGTGGAGTTGTTGTTGTGCTATTGCGTTGTGTGGAGTGATTGTTCTTGTTGTTGCTGCTGCTGCTGCTGCTGCTGCTGCTTGTGGAACGCTGCCTGCCTGCCTGCCGTCGTATCGCGTCTCGTCGTTTTTGTCTTTGCGTTGCGTTGCGTTGCGTTGCCTCGCGTCGCGTCGTGGTTGTCTATGTCTATGTCTTTTGTCCTTGTGGCGTCCGGTGGAGCATACGGTGCGCAGTCTGGTTTCTGGTTACCTTTCGTGTGCTGTAATGGTAGTTTCAGTCCATGCACCATCGCGAGGTTCACAGCCAATAGCAACGGAAAGCGTCGTCCCGTGGTTCTTGTGCTCACGCAGCCGTACCGTACCGGCACGTACCGTAGGCATCGTAGTGTATCGTAACGTAGTTCTACGGCTTCGAGCACGAAGCGTTTTGGTTCGAGTTCTCCTCGTCCAGTCCAAAAAAAGTTCTCGTTCGATTTTGGTGATCACACCGACGGGTCCTGGACGAACACACACGAACACGGGTTCTGTCCCGACGATGGACGAATCGCAGGACAGGTCGTACGAGTACGAGTACGAATTGTACTGTGTGTGCTGTGCTGTACGATGTAGTGCGGACAGAAGGAGACGTTCTCGTTCTACTAGCTGGCACGGTACTACACGTACACATACGTACGCTCCTTACCAATCGATCGTTTTGGTTTCATTCACGAATTCTGTCCGATTCGATCAAGGATGGGCAATGGAACGGAAAGGACGAGCAGGAGGAGTGGAATCAACTCAATGAACGGTACCTACGAACTTACGTACGTACCGTATGCACCTGTAACCTTCTACACCGTGCCGCATCAGCCGGCAGCAGCGGGCCGCAACAAGAATGAAGAACCTCCACCGTACACAATACGATACCGTACCGTACCGTACATTACAAAACAGCGAATCCCACAAGCCGCAGGGCCAAGGCTTCACAAGAACAACAAGAACAACAACAGCGGCAGCGGCAGCAGCAGCAGCAAGAGCAAGAGCAACCACCAAGCGATCGCACGGTACCCCGCCCATCCCAGAACACCGCAGCCGAGACAGCCGGTCGCATCGGAGCAAACGGAATTCCCCAAAGCACACCGGAGCGCAGCGACAAAGCCTCCGTTCCTTCCTCTTGGTTGGGTGCTCGTCCTTTTTCGTTTTCGTTTCGGAAGGCCTTTTTCACCGGTCGTTTGCAGCGCAGCGCACCGCAACGCACAAGGATGCATTCCCGGGCGGCGGCGCGGGCAGCAAGAATCGCCACCCGCCTTTCGGGCGGAAGAACGCACGGACCGGCCCCCCGCGGCGCAAGCGTCCTCTCGAAGAACGACCGCAGCGTTCGCGCTCGTCACCTTGGAGATCGCCTCGCGGAAGGGAGGACCCCCCCCTACCGGGGCCTGTCGTCTGCGGCGGCGGAGGCAAAGGGGGAAGGCCCACCGGCCCCCCGGAGGAGGGCCCTGCCCACCAAGGACCCGATCGTGCTGGTGCGTACTTTTGGCCGTCGTTGTGCCCCAACCGTGTTTTGGTGTGTTGGTTTGTGTTTGGCGATTGCTCGGGTGTTCTTTGTTTGCAGTCGAGTTGGGTTGGGGTTGGGGTTGAGTCGAGTCGAGTCGAGTTTAGGTTGGTTCCGGTTCTGGCTTGCGGCGGCAGCACGATTCCCGAGTGACCCCTCGGGCGTACGAATCGAACCGAACCGAATCGCGCCGAGTTGCGTTGCGGCATCCCAACTACCAGCAACCCAACCCCTGTTGGAATCCCGCTCGAACGCTCGGTTGTCAATAGATTGCGACGGATCCAACGAATTCCAAAATCGAAACGACCAACACTCACCGTTTTCTTGCCTTGCGTTCCCGTGCACCAACACTTCGTATCGCCGTCGTCTGGGGGAATCGGATGCGACGAAACGAAACAAAACAAAACAAAACAAAACAAACCGAAATGCGATCACGCGAACAAACGATTGCGATTCAACGAAACGACAATCGACAAACGAACGATCCAAAACCGCAACACAACACAACACACAGACGGAACAGGCGGCCGAGCGGATAAAGGCAATCCTGGAGGGAGACAACGCCAGGGGAGCGGTCGGGATCCGGCTGGGCGTCAAGCGCCGGGGCTGCAACGGCCTCTCGTACACCCTCAACTACGCCTTTGAGGAGCCGGAGAAGGACCTCAGGATGGAGGCCCACGGGGTCACGGTCTTTGTCGAGCCCATGGCACTCTTCAACGTCGTCGGGACCGTCATGGACTGGGAGGAAACCGAGCTCTCGAGCGAGTTCACCTTCAAGAACCCCAACTCCAAGGGCGAGTGCGGGTGCGGCGAATCCTTCACGGTGTGAAACCAAACCAAACCAAACGAGGAGAGGCGAAGCGCAACCAACCACGAAACGGAGCGATGGGACGCGCACTTCCATACATTGCAATGCGATCGTTGCCATGCGGTGGAATGAAATCGCTGCGACGCGATACGAGGCAATGCCTTGTTTTGGGAACCGATCGGGCGGCTTGCGTGTGTGTGTTTGTGTGTGCCTCCGCCACCCTTCGTCTGTCTTCGAATCGCAAAACGAACGCACTCCCTGCCGCGAAACAATCGAACGCAACCACGTCGTGGCGTTCCCGCTGTCTCATCTATGTACGATACAATACGATACGATACTACATACAAATAAGAATACATCAATTAACGAATACTATGGTTTTCCCGCGCCGAAAACTCTTTTCCGGCAAGAGCTATTCTAGCAATTGAYACTCGCGTCCTCCGAGTACGCATGGTTTGACCACGACGRACTCGAGTATGGATACTGAGTAGTACTAGTAAAAACTAATTCAATGCTTATATTTCGATCCTTTTGGAATCGTCGATTTTACATCACATGTTTTTCACCTTTAGAAGAGAAGCAGCGACCTTGATACCCAGGCTTCCACCACCAGTCTACAAGCTTGTTCACTCCGAACCCAATGCCGTGCTTCCTAGTACCAGACGCCGTGCTATTTTTGCAGTCAACAATACAAGTGGTTCGGCCCCGATCCGTGCTACCAGTAGCACTCTCAACGCAGCGAATCGAATCGAATCGAATCGAATCGGGGCGTGCCCGCTGTGCCTTCCCGCCCGCTCCCGTTCTCAAAACTCGGACTCCTCGGCCAGAGGCGGTGTTTCCCCGGCCTCCCCCGAAAGGCCGGCGCCGGTGGCCGCCGCTCCGGCGTTCCACGGGTTCCCGTAGGCTTCGACAAAGGCGGCCTCGTCCTCCGGGTGCTGGTCGGTGTAGCAATAGATCCAGATCAGGACGGCCAGGGCGAGGCCCTGGACGATCCCGGAGAAGAGCAGCTTGGGGCCGTAGGATTCCTGGTCCGCCCCGAGAAAGGTCTGGCAGTAGAGGATCGGGACAAAGGCGATCAGGTTCAGCCCGAGCATGAGGTTGGTCCCGCCCTTGCTGGGGTTCTCGTTYCCGATCCACAATCCGAAGAAGAGTGCCAGGGAAAACCGCAGCCAAACCACGCAGTCGATCAGCTCCGGAAAGGTCTCCATGGTCGGCTTCGAGTTGGGGGAGAGAAACCTGATCAGGTTCTCCTTCGCCCGGTCCAGTGTGCTCTTCGAGTCGTCCGGCATTGTGGTTTGGTTTGGTTTGGATTTGGATTTGGATTTGGATTTGGATTTGGATTTGGTTTGATGAGTAGCAGTTTGTTGTGCTTTGCGTTTGGTTCGATCCTGCGCTTTCGTCCTAACAGCGGGATCGAGATGTCGTTCAACTGAGATGAGGGCCTCGGAGCAGGAGGTTGGTATCGGGCAAATGGTTCGTCGAAACTCGAAACATCGCAATAGTAGTATCAGTACCGTAGAATCAGTACCGTAGAACTGGTAACKGTTGCTGGAGGGAGTGCGTGTAATCCTACGAGCATTGTACAGTGACAAGATACGGTGCATACCGAACAGTACATGGTACTGTATGTACTAGTAGTACGTACAGTACTATTGTATCTGTACACACATATCCTCACAATCCAACGACCTACGGTACGTTAGATCGAATAGATTACTGTATTGAGGGACTGATCAACGTCTCAATTTCCATGGTCTAAGCATTCTTTATTGGAATGCATTGATGAAAATTAAAGGTTGAATGTTTTCTAGATGAAAGCGTATTCATTCTGTAGCAAAATATTTTGTTTCTGGTCTCACCGATTCAAATGAGCACTATAGTAGTTCTTATGTACATTTTCACTCTACCGTTGCTGTCATTGCAAAGGGGCAGATGGAGGCCGCGCGATCATCGACATCGAGACCATCGTTTTCCGCGGTTTCGAAGAGGACGCTGCATTTCTCGTTTTTGGCCAAGGCCATCGCCATTTTGGACTTGTGAGTCTTCGTCCATTTTTCGTGAAAGGCAACCGACATTTTCGAGTGCCAGCGAATGATCCACCTCCTCACCGGTCCAATCCACCTAGCGGCCTTGCTGTAAATCCTCATCAACGTCAGGGAGAACGTGGATACCAGATAGATGTTTATCCGCGCGACCCGATCCGGATGATACGGCAACAAGAGAGCGTCCGCGAGGGGATTTCCTATCAGTCGCCTACAGTTGAAGCAACGGTAATAAAACATCCAGTTTTTGTAAAATTGAGCAGGAATTTTTTCGATTTGGAGAGATCGAGGCCTCCTGTCCGTCACTTTGAGCAGGTGGTGGGCTATCTTGAAAGATGACTCATTGGGATGGAGAAGATGAAAAAATACGGACTGAAAGATTGATTGGGAATGCTGTATCGGATTGGGTTCGACACCAACTCCTGGACCACAGGGATCTAGAGGGGGCAATTCCTCCATTGTAGGTTGACCCTCTACTCTGCTATCAAACTCAGTTTCTACCCCTAGAAGCCACCCAATATACCTATGCAATTGAATTTACAGATTGTGTTGTTGTGAGCCGAAAAAGATTTACCAAARTTCTCTCCTAGAAATCACAATCAAATGCTTACCTCCACAACGCCAGATAATCGAGTTTCTCTTGTTCTGATAACGACGTTCCGGATATGAYATCTATTCCGATAAGAACGTTTGTACTAAAAGCTAATAGTGTTGCCGCCATGTCCTCTTGATTGATGGGAATTCCAAACTCGTCGACATTCCACTTTTTCGTCCCTCTCTTCTTGAGAATTGCATGGCGCACCTTTGCATGAAGGAATCGAACGTGCAGCGCTGTTCTCCATCCTGTTCCGCCGGGCAGCAATGCGTCTACGCCAAGGGCTGTGCAAGCGATTACAAATTCCCCGGTATCCAGCAGTCTCTGGAGAGCTTGGTCGGGCCGTGAAGGCGGTGCCAAGTAAGCCGTAGCTTGAATGACTTCTGCTATCTTTGGAATCGAAAACCCCGCGATCAAACTCCGATAGTACAGCGACAATGACACCGCTGGCAGATAAGCGAGGTGGACTTCTTGCMCCCGTTTTATCTGACTCAAATCTACCCAGTCTGGCATCCGGAGGTATGTTTCGAGAAAATTTGCCATCTCTTTTTCGGCCATCCCCTGCGACGGACATCTTTTCCTCAATGCGTTTTCCGCCATCACCAGCAAATCGTCACCCCGACGAAGTCCCCTTCCGTCTTTTTCTAGGAGATCCAATATTCGATCCACCGGCCCGTCTCCCAGAAGACGGTACTTCTCGAGGGCATCGGTCGACATATGGTATCCTCCATCACGCCTKTCTAGCCACAGTACRCTCTGGCCGAAATGATTGCGGACATATGAMCCTTTTGGCCAAGATTCTCTCTTTGGAATGCGGTATGCAGGAATATCGAGAGGATTGAACATGCCGTATATCCTCGAYGTCTCGCCTTTTCAATTTTTCAAAAACTGTTCCGTCACTTTGTTGCGATAAGGCCACGGTAGATGATACTACCCATTAAGGACTTTCTACCGTAACAATGCAGCGAAGGCTTTTGTTGGGTGGAAGCAGCGCGTTTTGTGCCAAAGCCCCGACACCGCTCGGGGAAAGGGATGCGCCGCGCCTGTACTGCAACGTAGTTTGTAGACGTCGAGCGTGAACCTGTGCTATCGGACGATTCTATTTGTTGAAATRCGATGGCAGCGAGTTCGAATCACCGTTCGCAGTTGCCCCTCTAGTGGATCAAATGGTAGCTCTGAGGATAWGTTTTGGTTCCAGTGCTATCCGTTGATGTTCGACTCCACAAGGCTTTGTTGTCAACCCAATATGATGGATCGATGCGTCTGATGGAAAAGAAAATGAACGCAGAGAGGAGATGGCAAAACAGAAGATACACGAATCTACCGGCATCAGTTTTAACCTGGACCCTGAGTTGTTCCTGCGTCATTTTCTCATTCTCTGTCTACCGTCTGTCCTTGTACCAGAGAACAGAGAATACATGTACGAAAATTTATTTTGCATGTCGTGGTGGTGAGTTGCACTGAATCGTAGCCAATTTTATGTTCAATACGAGAAATATTTTGTGATTGCAAAAATGTTACTGCTTGTTAAGTCATGTATGAATGTATGAATTGGTTTGATGCCAATGTGTTTTTCTTGTGTTCTTCTTTCTTCTTGTTCTTGTGTTGACGAAGTTCACTTTTGTTGCTTCTTGTTGTAGCAACCACTATTTTTTTATGCAGTACAAATACTACTACTAGTACTACTACCACTAGGCTGCCAGTAGTACATTTTTAGACTGACAAAAAGAATTTGGTGTCTTACATGAGAGATTTTATTATGATGCCCCGAACAGCAAGGATCAATTTACAAAAGAAATTCTTCTAATCTTCTTCTGGTGGACTCTTCTCAAGGCTCTTGAGATGATAGGGGATGAAGATAGACAATCCTTGGAGGAGTGACATTGTAGAGATAGAATGACTGAAAAACAACCTGAAGAATACAGTGAAAGTAGTACGTATTTCACTGCCATCACTTTATCAACCATCACTATTCACAGACACAAGGCTGGACTATCAAAATAGCAACAAGCAGTGCTGCTGACATGCAGCAACTGATCAACTATATTCAGTGCTAGTTGACCTCAAAAGGAACACTCAAGAAGAACTTTTATTCTGTTCCTATGTTCTGGAGTAAGCCATGGCATCATTTGATTACAAATCTTTAAAGAAAAGATTGAGACTTTAGTCGCATTCTGGAGACTCGGAGCTCGATATTCATTCAGGAATCACGAAAATGGATCAAAGTCGTTCACTGGATTTGTATGCATTTGTTGCTGTGTGGTGTGTTGCTGAAAGTGCTGGTGTGACTGGTTGTGCAAGTGGTGATGCAAAGGTTGGCTCCGCAATGCATTTGCTCGTAGTTGCGTTGGATAAGTGTTGTCTACTATCTGTTGCTGCATTCCACCGCCCATTTGATTGAATACGATGGGTTGTGGCTGTGGTACGACCATGAATTGCTGTTGGTGCAATCCGCCATATTCGTTCGTGACAAAACCCTGTCGTTCGGTCATCGGAGATTGGTGATGCACGATTGATCCATCGCTGCTGCTTACTGCGGTTTGTGTCATTCCAATGGTAAGGGGCACCACCAACGGATTTTGACTCATATACGTGCTACCCAACTGATGTGGTATTGAGGTGCTCTCGGATGTGGATGGGTTTTTGACAGGCAGGTTCTCGAGTGAAACAGACGTAGGAAAGGATATAACAGTAGACTTCAGTGGATCAAACTCGTGCAGATTGTGGAGACTTTGGCTGTGCTTGTGACTGGATTGGCCAGAAGATTTCGAAGCTGTCATCGAGGGTCGCAGAGGCGGTATCAACGGTGGTGTGGACGTTGTGGACAGGCTTTCGTTCCGTCTATGGTGGGTGGAGATGCCGTCCTTGATCCCATTGGATGGCACCGAACTGTCGATTGTGGAGGCAGCGTTCTTCGTATCAATTTCCTTGGCAAAATTCTGTGATTTACTGAGCCTTCTAACGGCATCGGATCCGTTCAATTGGTCAGGCTTTTCTTTCAGGCCGAGGTCGATTTTCGGCGTGTAGGCTTTCGAACCTATTCCTTTTGAACCCTTGGATTTCGGTGTGATCGGGTTGGGCAATTGCTTTGGAACGGGATTTTGAGGCGTCGAATCGCTCGAAATCGTGTGTCGAATTGGCGAAGCTCCGTTTATGGAGATGGCTGTTTGCGGGACCTTGACTGAAGCTGGGGGTTTCATTTCGACCGCAACGGTACCACTGACAGGTTTCTCTGGAACTACCTGACCATTTCCTCGACCAGAGCCTTCAGCTTCTTCCTGTGGCTGTTGTTTGCTGGCTTTTATCTCCTCCATTGCTTCTCTCAGTTTCTTCCAAAGATCCTTGTTCCGTAGTTCGGCTTTCTCTCTGAGTGCCTGCTCTTCGCGCAATTTTCCATCTAGATCTCTGTTTTTGGCCTCCAGCTCCTTGTTCTTGTCTCGCTAAAAATTGGAAGAGGTGAAAGAGAATTGACGTGCGTGCATACCGTACAATGTGATCAGATAAATAGGTTGGACACGAGGCATATCTCTTGATAAACAAATGGGATACTTACCAGCAACTTGATATCTGTTTGGAACGTTTTGATGGACTGATCGGCACTCGTTACCTCCATTTTCATCTGGTCCAGAAGATAGAATACCTTTCCCAGCCCGACAGAGCTGACGGTGCCGTTGCTATCAAACGACTGGGGTAACTTTCCACTGCTGCTGCTACTCCTCCCCTGGATGGTCGTCTTTTTTGGTTTGGTCGCGAGCACAGTTTTTGTGTGCTGCGATTTCTCCGTGGTCGAAATAGGCGGTTTCGGGATTGGTGCGTTTGGCAAACTTGACGAATGAGTGGAGCTACGGTTCGGCAACGGCGAGGATGTGGACGTGGATCCCACCGGTGTTGTTGGTGAGCTGGGCATGTTATGGGAAGACTGAGAGTTTGTTGGTGGTGGTTGCTGYTGGTTGGTTGGAAAGTTTGCGCCCGACGATACTGCCCGTCGGTGGTGGTGATAATGTGGCTGAACAAGCGTGCTAYCTGCTTTGTTGTTGGGGACCGCTGCCGCGGTTGTATATGAATGCATCGCAGAGGAAGGTGGATGCTGTGGATTATGTGTGGTTGCAACTTGCTGTTCCTGCGCAATGACTACCGTTTTGGGTTCCGATACAGCGGTGAAGGTAGATTGGTTGGATAGATCTCTTGTGTGCCGCTTTACCGAGGTAGTAGTATATTGTATATACTGCTGGCCGTGGGGGTGAGGATGGACCGGAATCTGCGAGTATTGTACAGTTTGGGGCTGTAGGTAGTGGCTTTGTTGATAGTGCTGGTGTTGGTTGTTGATCGGAACCTGTGAATATTGATGGTTTTGGTGATAATTCTGTGGGTGTTGCTGTGGAATTACATCGTACGCCTGCTGTATCGTCGAAAGAGGTTGGATCATGACAGGCTGAATAGGTATTTGTGAAACAGTTGTTGTTGGATACGATTGCTGTATAATGGGAATCTGTTGGTTTTGTGAAGGTATTATTTGTTGCTGGTGATGGTGGATGATAGGCATGG